CGGCTGCTCCGGGAGGGGATGCTGAATTTGCATTTCAGCCATGCTTTGGTGTTTTTGCTCAGATTAGCATGCAGCCTGCGTCGGGCTTTGAATGGCTCTTAAAATACGTTTTGAGGAAACCTGTTGTGACGCTGTGTGCTCGGGGTGCTAAAAATAGCTGCCTTTGTAGTACTGACGGAGCCTCGGGAGCTACGGAGACGGCGGCGTTGGTCCGAAGATCGCTCTGGTGTGTGTGGGAACGGCGTACGGTAACTAGGGGTGGTTATTCGCGTTAGTTAGCAGCTCTCTAGCTCCTAGCCTCCGCGGGAAGTACACGCTTGGACGCAGAGAAGCGGTTATCAAGCGCCAGCAGCAGCAGCAGTGCGTGGCGCTGCGGTGGGAAGCGCGGGCTCCGCGTCCGACTCTTGTCCCTAGTAAACGGGCTTGAGGGTAAGGGCCCTGCCGGGGAGGGAGCGCTTATCTCCCAAAGGCACAACTTCTCCTCGGGCTGGGAGAGAGGTGCGCGCAGCCCTCTGGCCCGTCTCGGAGCCTCTGGTGAGGGCCCTCTTTGCAGGGTGGAAACGCTGAAATAAAGGGTAATCTCCAGCTGCCCGGAGACCACGCCTGTGGGAGGAAAGGGGACTGTGACATTCTCAGAATCGGCTCTGCTGGCACCGCCGCCACGTGACTGTCTGGTGGATACAGATCGGTTTGGATTTTTAGTCAGAAATGAGGGTGGGGAAACCCCATTCCAAAGACTTCACGAAGACAAGGAAGAAGGTGGCGTAAGCGGGAGAAACGTCCAGGCCGCAAGTGAGGGGAACTGAGATCTCTGAACTCTAAAAGTGTTTTACAGTCAATTTGAGACAGACGACCTCCTTCCTCCTCCTCCTCCTATGAAGGCTGCTGTGAGTCTGCTCCCCTCCCTCGTGTGCTGCTCTGGGGAGGAGGGGATCTATTTTACCGATTCTGCTAAAAGCAGGCCATGAGATCTCAAATTAGGAACCAACCCCCTTTGGGCAAAGTTATGTTACAGAAAATGGAAAGGCCTCCGTTTTCGTTTTCACCTGGCCGTCCCCTCCTTTCCTAGCTTGGTCCTAAAGCCAAACTGGGACTGGAAAGAGAGGCAGAGTGCTTAGGAAGAAACTGATCCTGTCTACAAGATGGAAAGCTGCATGCCTTTTGTTGTGTTTTGAGTCCCCGTGAGCCTTGTCTGTAGAAAAGCATAACCCGGCACCCCAGCCTGGCCAGCGCGTTCCAGTGTGGCACTGTCATGGCTTAGTAGCAAATTAATTTACCTTGTTATTTTCGCACTGATGAAACCGGCGCTCGTTCGTCTGCTCTTTCTCTCTCCTTCCGTGTATACACTGTAATGCAGAGAAACCTTCCTCGTGCAGTCACTTCCTAAATGTGATGGACACTATTGTTGTCCAATGGCAGTGCGCAGCACTGGCAGGACTGAGCGGCAGGAGAATTAACTCTATTTGTACCTGAAAGAGGTGCTGGATGGCAATTTGGAAGATGTTATTAATGAGGAGATTGCTGCAAGGTTGGGGCACGTGGTGACTTTCGTTAGCACGACGTTCTGCCAGTCTTTGCCGGCTCTCAACTTGTCGAGGCTTTGCACTTGAGTCTTACTGCGTTAAATGTTCTTGGCTATATTAGGGCAAGCTCTAACCCTGCTTTGAAAGTATTTCTAAGCCCGAGACGGAAATTCGCTAGCTTTTTTTGCTCGCCTGTCCAGGACAGCGTGCTTTGTCATGTTTTAGCTCATTTCTGTGCCTTTGCCCTTCTTGGCAATCTGTTGCAGCAAGGAGTTTGCAATGACTGTGTGCCTTCTGAAAGAATAAAAATACAGATCAGCTCGATGCACTCGTATTTCCATCAACGTTGAAAAATGATTAACGATGTGGAACGCGACTGCAGAATTTGATATTGAAAATTTCTAGCTGTGTTCGATGTTTGGGAATCGGAGAGAGGACAGCTGGGAGTGCTGGCCCCCGCGGCAGTTAGGGTTTGTGGGATAAGCTCACGCTGATCATTTTTGTAAACATCCAGCTGTGAAGTACTTGAGCAGCGCTAGCACTTTCAATTATCAGGAAGTTTCAGGCTCAGCACCCTGTTGAGATGAACAGGCAGTTTCCACTTCTGTCTGAGCTATTGTTTCAGGCTATCTTCAAACTCGGGCAGAGAGTCTTCCAAGCATGAAGCAAGCACAAAGCAATGCAGCACTGGGTGACTGTGAAGACGAGGAGGGGGGGAGGAGGGAGGCGGTAATGAAAGCAATTACCCTACTGCTAAGCTCTGAAGTGGAGGGACAGATTGCATTGCAAATCCCACTGCTTTGCAATATTACAGGACCCTGAATAGCAATGCTGTTATGTTCCATTATTAGCAATCAGGGAAGATGTCTGACTTAATGGCTGGCACGTGGGATCAGGACCAGTGAAGTCAGGAATCCTGATCCCAGTTCTGCTCCTAGATCTGAGGGTTATTGGTCGCTCTGTGGCTCAGCTTCCCTTTTTGAGGGAGAATGCGTCTCCAGGCTAGTGATGCTGAGACCTAATTCTGGTGTAGCTCTGTCACTGTGTTCTATAAGGGCATACTGGAAAGAAGTGCTATATGCTGTGCCTCAGCTGTATCAGAACTGTCTCTAGCATACCTTTCCCCTTCAGCCAGCACCTCCCCAGAAATCCAGGGTTTCTGATGTGACACACAAGTGTACCCTCCTGTATCCTCTGCTCTCCAACCACAGGCTCTCTGCAGCATCTGTCTAGGTTGTTTACCAAACCACTGAAGACTGTCTGATCTCTGTCCAGGCTTCCCCAGAGAGTGCCTCAGAGAGCTGTGTCCTGGCAGCTCTCAAGTTCGGTCTGAAGGTTCCTGAATCTGTTCTTTGCTGCTGGATGCTGGTTCCGATCCATAAGGGAAATGGAAAGCTGGCCAGCTGGGCGAGGGCTGTGTGTAGCTCCTCTAGAACAGTAAACAGTGACTCACCCCCTCCTCTGTGTCTTCTCTCTGTTCGTGTCAAATACATTGCCTTGCATATGCTTCTACTCTCTGATTCACACCATCAGCCTGTCCCTCCCCTCTCTTATTACAAATGAATGACAAGCGTCAGTCTGTCTTTCAGGATGAGCGATGATTGTTAGAGCAGGAAAATGGTCTTTGAATGATGGGAGAGGGATGGTGCTCTGCATACCATGCTGCAATGTGTTGGAAATCCATGTCATGCCTCTGAGGGACAGAGGCACAGAGATCAAGATTTGAGCATCTGTAGTTCCCTTCACCTGTCAGATCTGACGTTATTCTTGGTAAGCATATTCATTTGGCTAGCTTCAGGAGTTGGGAATAACTTGTGGATAAACTAGAAATTTAGGCAACTTACTAAAACAGCTGCTGGGGAATTATACTCCTGCATTTGGGAAAGTCTGAGTAGAATATTCCCTGCATACATGGCTGTGCCGAATTAAGACTTGATGGCTGATATCCTCTCACTGCTTAAAACCGTAGGCTGTGTTTTTACCCTTTAGAAGTCGTTGCTGGCCTGGCTCAAGGTGAGAGTTGCATGTTTTCAGTTTGCTGTACTTGTCTGAGGATGGAAGCTCAATACCAGTAGGGCTGTCTGCCAGATACTTATGTTCTGGCCAGGCTTGTCTTTTGATATAGAATAGATTTTAAAATTTGAGTTCATCCACGGCTGTTGGGTGTTAGAAATGACTTTACAGTAAATCCTTAATGTGTAATGTGCTCTGAGAGCCCTGTAGCATAGAAAATCATTCTGGCATTTCTTTTTTTTTTTTTTTTTTTAATTGCAAATTTTACGTAAGGTTCTGTCCTGCCTCAGAGCACTGGTCAGATTTTCTTTCCTCTTTCCTCTCGAGGCAAAGGAATTGGGGATCACTAGATGGATTAAGTTGAGACCATCAGACAAGAGGTCAGCCTGAGAACACCAAGTTTTTAGAAAGGTGCTGTGAATGACTTAGGAGTCGTCTTGGAGAGGGTGAGGGCGTTGGCAAGACTATCAGTGGATAACTTTATTGTAGAATTACAAGGGCTCTTTGTGTAACCTACAGTCAAAACATTTGTTTTAAGTACAAGCACAGAGCCGAACTGTGAAAGCCTTTGCCCCTTACTGTTGGTATATTACTACTCACTGTTTTATTTATGTAGCATCCTAAGTGTGTCATACTGCTTACAGAATAAAGATGTAATGCAGTCCTTGTTCCAAAAAGCTTAGCTCCTAATTTTAGACGTGATGCAGCAAATGCAATTAAGAAAAGAAGGGCAGAAATAGGGTAAAGACTAAAAGGGTTCTAGTAATCAAATCGGAGTTAGTGTCCCAGAAGACCCTTGTGTAGCATGTTTAGGGGGCACCGCTGAATATGGCAAGTTTGCAGTATTATTTACTACTTTATCATGGGGTTTTGCCTTCTGTCTGTGGGAAGCGCCCTGCCAATTATATTTACTTCTAGTTGGTAACCGAATAGTCCTAAATAGTACTGACAGAAAGGATTGTACAGCTGAGAGACGGAGTCAACTTTTAAGTAAGCTGACCGAGGCCACGCGGGATTGTCAGCGAGGATTTGCAAGTGGTGGTGTATCAGTTTTGCGTTAAGCTCAGACCACGCCTGCAGGTTCACCTAGTGCAGAGGTAAGCCTCACCCTGG